TTGTTTTTTTTAATGTATAGATATCCTATTATACATGATTGTAATCTTCATGTACGTAAAAGACAAAGTTTTTAAAACATGTATAAAATTTGAATCTATGGATAAAATAATTTTAAAACAGTTGAACACAGAAATAAAAGACAAGCATATTTTTTTCTGATACATTAAATTAATGCAGAATATTTCTAGTTTTAGTAAAAAGATCCCGATTGAAATAAAACCGATTTTGAAAATAATTCAAAATGTGTAAAGTTATAAAACTAAAGACAACTGCCACCAATAAGACATTAAAAAAATAAATCAAGTAATTTTTGGCCATATTACAACAAAAGACAAATCTAGCTTTTTATAGTATTTCCTTCTTTACATAATTGTCGAGATCGGTTTAATGTGAAAAATTGTAAAACATAGGTACTGACTCCTTTTATTTCTCTCAAATACCTGCCCACTGATTTTATGAGTGACTCAAAAGTTTGTACTTTGTATTCATAATAACAAGATCTGGGGAAATGTATTGGGTTTTATAAAATGAAAATTGGCTAATGAATTCAAAGAGTTATAAAAATTTTGACCAATATTTTTTACAAAGAAATATAAAGAGAACTTTTTAGTTATTGCTAAAATTAAAGAAAATCATGTATAAATATATTGATGGACACATCCAGGTTTTGCGTATCTGGTACATATAAAACAAAATAAAACGTAGTAATTTTTTTTACCCCCATGTTGACCTTTTTACTCGTCTTCCATAGGAAGACGGTAAAAAATTTTATGTTGTTAATGTGTATTGCTTTAATAACTATATGCAAAAAATAATAAAAATCCATGACCGATGTGCCACCCATTGCCTGATTTTTACTGTTAATTTTACAGTGGAATTCAGAAATCATCATGTGCTTATGAGGTGATCACATGGGATGTTGAAGCATAGGATTCAGAATAGTGGGATTTTAACATTAGCTTTGAAAACGTCTTTTCGGATCTCACAGTGGTAAAAAATCTTGTGGAATGATTTTCAGTTCATATCCTAACTTTCTGAAAAAAAAAATATTTCTATTAATCAAATCCATTGACTTACAATGTACTTGTGCCCTACATGATATATTTCTGAAGAAATACCTTGAATACGTATAAGGCCAATCCATTTTTTTTTATCTTTGTACACCCAACCTAATCGCAAAAAACACACAGAGCAAAAAAGAAAACACAGACTTTATAGAACTTCTTTAAAGTCATTTCATTCAAAATAAGGATGTGTTTTTTAAAATTCATTTATTTTTCTGTAGCTAAAGATCCTAATTATAGCAAAATTAAACTTTAATCTAAAATATTACCTAGGTAGATAAAGACAACAGATCATAAAAGATAATGACAAAAATATAATGTGTTAAATAAATAAAAAAGATATACATTTAACTGCTCATAGATTTACTAATTTTTCAGTCAAAAATTTTTCACAGTTATGGGATTTAAAGTAAAAAAAATATATATATATATAGATTTATGAGTCTAATTTCGAATCCCAAAAAGTTGAATTTTGTCCCACCAAACATCCCATGGCAGAAAAAATTGTACAAATCCTTTACTTTTTAGAAATTTATTCAAAGTGATAAATCAATTGGCATCTCCAATACTTTGTTTGTATCATTATATTATATATATGTGAAGATAAATTTTCAATTTTGGTATATATTTTGTGACACAATGTTATAGGATTTTAAAGTATTTCAATACAAATCATATGTTCCCATCTGAAGTATTATGAGAAATACCTACCAATACAGTATTAATTTTACATAATACATTATTAGAAGTAGACTATATCATTCAGCATAATACCTAAGGGCTAAGAAATTCCACACATATAAAACTATCTTATATCTTGGTCTTAGAAATGGTTTCTCTTATAAATGATGTGTCAGTTAAGCATCAAAAATCATGATACAAACCACACTTTTGTTTTGTTATGTTAAAGTTATACCTGCACACGTGAACGATAAATAGAAAATTTGGAGTTAATTTTCACATCAAATCAATGCAAGGGGGATAAGCTTTTAAACAATTAGGAAAAATGCTAACGTTTTAAATATTTTTACTGTATACAGGTGGTTAATTTCGCCCCGTGTTATTTTCCACACTAAAAGCAGTTTGCCCCAAGTTTTTGTTTAAGATATTATACAGTTTACTTTTTCATCGCCCCAATTTGCACAAGACTAGGGCGAAAAAAATTTCCTTGTATACTTTCACATGTAAACACTAATAATTCAAAAATTAATAAATGAATTTAAAAAAAAAAGAAAAGAAAACGAATTTATAAATAGAATGAAAACATTTATTGGCGTAAAATTACATACAAACTGCCACGAAGGAATATAGATTATTTTAAACACAAATAAACAAGTCATAGGATTGTGTTTTATATAAAAAAAAAGTTATACATTAAAGGATAAAGTTTAATTACTGGTCTTTAATGATGCTTTTGCAAAGTAACTTTAGTCAGCTCCATCCAATACGCCATGTAGTCTAATGCCTTTTCACGTAAATCGGTCTAGTGGTTCTGTAGAAGTCGAAAATGTTTTAAAAATCATAACCTACCGAGAAAAAAGCACAAATTACGTGCACATTTCTTTAAAAAAAATATATATATCTTTGGAAATTGTCTGGTATGTTCACTTAAAAAAATATACAAAACACAAAATCACGTATTTATCAGACAGTTAAAAGATTTTTTCCTTTATGTGATGATATATTGTTCTTCAATTAAGAAAATATGGTAGATAAGATTTGATTGATTATTTTTTATTTTCAACAATTCTGGTCAAATCTATCGCTTGCCTTGTGATCAAGAGCGCAACTCTTACAGGTATTTAATCAATGTTAAATGCACGTGAAATTTTCTATTCCTTTATTTGAAAATGTGTTAAAAAAATACGTATAATTTTAAATTTTCATTGATAACAATATATCCTAAACTTGAAGCACGTTCATCTTTTACTTTATTAGAAGTAAGGATATAGTTTAAACTTTTGTACGAAACTCATAGAAAGTTTTTGTAGTGTCCTATTTCGTTTTGCTTAGATGTAGCCAAATTTTTGAAAAATTACAAAAATCACGTGATGCAAATTGATACTTTGAACACGAACTCGTACAAGCAACAAGTAGAGCTTTTTAAAAAAGCTTACCGTCTTTAGCAACAAACTTTTAGCAGTAAAATGATCTACACCTTTCTTTTGAATTTCTTGATTTTGTATTTCTACATTAGCTTTTTATGGCATTAGCCCTTTCATGGTTGTCGCTCGGTCATCTCCGTAAACTATGACTGGCCGAATATTTCGGCAAAAACCTCGGCTGATTCCGTTACCTTAAAACAAGATAGGGGAAAAGAATAATAAAAAAAATGTAAAGCCTGCAAGCAATAAAAATGAAATATTTTTTACAAAGAAATTAAAGAGAACTTTTTAGTTATTGCTATAAAAGAAAATCATGTTATTTAGAATTAATGTCCGAAGACTGTAAAAACTTCAACTGTATAATACCGTCTTCCAAGGAAGACGGTAATATGTTGAAGTATAGTTACATAACTTCGTACTGACCAGTCGGTTAGTTAATTTTATGTCTGGGATCATTTCTGAAAGTTGGAAGGGAGGAATAGTGTTTTAACATTACCTAAAATATCTTTTGAAAAAAAGTAAAATCGCTCAAACTCGAAAAAGGGTACAGGGCAAAATACTTGCCTTAAATGACGTCATCAAAACGCAAAATACTAATTAGTACGACTGTCACCAAATGCAAAATACTGCCCCTGGGTACCCAGGTTGAGGAGTTAAGGGTGTATAGTTTTATCATATAGCTGTAGTTAAGGATAGATGTTACAAGTAAACTTTTATCAAAATTCCTGAAAAGAGACAACGTCAGTTATATTGATATGTGTTAAATAAATTAAAGTTTAACTGCTCAGATTTAAATTTTTCAGTCAAAGTTTCACAGTTATGGGATTTAAAGTAAAAAAAATATATATATATAGATTTATGATCTAAATCGCAAAAAGTTGAAATTTGAACATCACAGAAATACAAATCCTTTACTTTGCACGTAAATTAGTGAAATAAAAAAAAACTTTATAATACCTATAAGCATTCCTGAAGGTGGGACTTTTAAATACTTTTGTGACACAATTAAATACTTTAATATTTCAGTAATATTTAAGTATATAGATTACCAATACAGTATTAATATTACATAATGATTATAATCTATATCACAGCATTCATGCATTCCACACAACATGTCGCTTATCTTCTCTGAGTGGTCAATACCATTAAAATTTCAAAAGAATGATACAAATGGGTACCACATCTTTGTTTTGTTTTGTTTTATACCTTCACTATTGGTAAAGTCACTGAAAGCAAATGCGATGTAATTTTTTTTAAGATTGTCTTATTTAATGATTTTTACCTTTTTTATAAGTTATATATGGCACCAAAATGTAGATATGAAATATAATCTTTCATCAAGCACAACAACTGTCCAAAAAAAAGTTTCAATTTCTTCACCATCACATAAGCCTTTTGATAAATATTACACATGATAGCACTAGTTTACACTGAAATAGAGTTTAAAATATGTAACTCCGGTTTTACAAAATATACAATACTATCACAAATACAGACACGTGTTAGTTTACACTGAAATAGAGTTTAAAATATGTAACTCCGGTATCACAAATACAGACACGTGTTGTAGGAGGACCCATAAATAAGCGGTTCCTGGGGCTGTTCGGGATTTCAATACCTAACCCAGGGGACCTGTCTGGTCTGTATAACATCAAAGTACCGGGAGATGCGACTGGGTATTTAGACATCGCCCACCAACAGCAGAGCGCAGCTGCAACAGGAACCGGATATGTTCAACATCAGAACCACAACGGTCCCGGATGTAGGGTTTTTAATTATGTTTAGTTCTGCAAATGTATTATTTTAAAATGAATACTAGTAACCAGTGAATCCATTTTATTGACTGCTTAAGAAAAAAAAACCCATGTCTTCTGCAGGAAACATGATCGAATGATGGCGTATTTTTGCCCTCTTATTTTTCTAGCCTTTAGTTTACAGTCAGGAAGTTCCAATATGAATTCTCTCCCTGGTAAATGTGACCAGGTCATTACTACACACTGTGACATAGACTGCAGGCAAATCGACTCCGTGACTGGCTGCGTTACATGCAAGTCTGGATGTCGTAAGGATATTTTTTAAAAAAATGATGTATACTGTTATTTTTTTTTTCTAAACTATATATTTTGCATAAATTAACGAATACCTTTAAAAAAGAACCAGCCATTATTAACATTTTTTTCATATTTCGCTTCCCCAAATATTGACGAGGAAATTCGACTCTGATGAATGTAAATGAAATTCAAAGTTAAGCATCATATCACCTTTCGCTTAAAAGTATTTTACTTGCCTTGAAACAGGAAACAACATTCAAGCGACATCTAGTGGTGGATCCTCTCTTTCGTCAATGTCCACCACAGGTATATGTCATGGAAGCATTTATTTGTTTTGATTTTTTTTTTACAGTTGAGTTTGACTTTTATTTATTAAAAATTCTAAATTCAGTGTTTTTGTAAAGAAGAATAGTTATTGCATTTAATGTAATAGGTCAACAGGGAATGCTCACTCCCCCATGACACCTGATCCAACTTCTGATGTTTTAGAGGTCCCTGACTGCTTTGCTCTAAAATTTGTATTGTCTGATGGAATTAAATACTTTTTGTTGCTTATATATTCACATAGTTTAATCAAAAACTATTAACACACTGGAAATGAAAAATAAACAAAGCGATAAAACATTGATTTTTGTTTCTTCTGAATTCGTTTAAAGCATCGCCGATGTGTCCAGCGTTTCCAAGCACCTGTCCACGAGGTAGTGTGGCCTTAGTTAATGGATGCCCTATTTGTACAGGTAAGAATTAATAGCACGAGGAAGTCACAGTGTGGCCTTAGTTAACGGATATTCTATTTGTACAGGTAAGTCATAACACCACGAGGCAGTGTCGCCTAATTAGTTAATGGATGTCGAATTTGTACAGGTAAGACATAAAACACGAGGCAGTGTGGCCTAAGTTAATGAACGGTACAGGTGTCATCTTATGATTGCTTTAATAATGTTTATTTGCATTTATTTGTACATGATACAGCAGCTAAAGCGAAAAAATTATTTTATATATATCGGGACAAATTTTAATAATGAGATCAAAATGCCCATTTGACCGTCTTATGTCTATTTTTTTCATCTGTATCTATAAAATGTATATGCAATTATTTTGTATCTAAAGAGCATATATTTTAGGTGGAGGGGGGCTACCTTCTATGGCCATTTTTAAATGATTGGTTATTGTATAAAAGTGCATTAGGTAATTTTGATAATCATTTGTTAAATAAATTTTCTATGCCTTGTATTGAACAAATTTCAACACTACATTTCTCTCCCTACGCCTACTTCAATTCACCTTTGTTATATCCAAGTCATCAGAGATTCCATTTCGTTGGAAATATCCTTTTGAATGAGATATTTATCCGAGAATACTGAATTATTTAAAAAAATCATTATATTTACGACTCATTTCTAATACTCTGTTTCAGCACAATTAACAACAACTCAGCAGACTACGACTGCGCACGCGTCGTCTACCTGTGCTCCGGTGAGGTGCGTTACTCCGTGTAACAAAGGCATTATGTTGGGTTCCGACGGATGTCCGATGTGTGTCTGTTAATGACGTCATAATGGCGTAACAAAATATGTGCTCATTCTTGCGTGTGTTTGTCTTTTTTGAAATAAAACGTATAAATATATTACAATATTCAAAGATTTGGATCAACATTATTCAATGGTGACAAATCCCGATGACACTGAATCGACGTATCTTGACAGAAGTCGCAAAATAATTTACTTGATTCAAAAAATGAGAATAAACATGTAGTGTACATTTCTACCTTCTTTTTTGTTTCAAACTGTGGATTTAATATATTTTTCTGAGCCTTCGGTATGTTAGAAATAAGATTTCTCTATAAATTATGAATTCTGCTTTATCATATAAAAAAGACAGGATACTCTTTTATCTCACACAAAATACAAAACAAAATCACCAAGTAAAACAAGAAGTTTATATGAAAAATTTTATATGGTAATTTCTGATGAATTAGGCCCCAGAATTCCATATCTCGTTATACCAATTCTCATCCACTTCTGCAAAAACAAAGTATTTATAACATAGTAGACTAACGATGATAGTAAATGAACGTAATCTTATTACGTATTACTTATTATTTAAAAGAATTTTCAAAAAGATTTATAATATATTAAAGAGGCTGGGGGGGTGGCAGCCATTTTCAGACTATTTCAATCTCCTTTAAAAGAAGAACTCCATATAAAGATATAGAAAATTAAATGATCAAATTTTAAAACTAAAATGTATGATTTTTTTCATTCCCAAATGATAGTTGACAGGTTAAGATACCGTACCTAAAAAAAATAAGTTAAATCTGGTGGTTAATTTGTAGTTTATTTGTTGACCCCCCAGCCTCCTTAAAGTTTTAAAACTACAAAGGAATACTTACGTTTTGATACGCATACTGGGCAGCCATCTTTGTCAATGCGCACGCGCCCTCGCTGACATCCGGCAGGAAAGGTTGGGCAAATGTCGCTGCCTGTGATAAAATAACAGTTTATGTGACAACATCACTAAAACTCATTCATCATAAAATGCAACAACAGTTCACTTTTTGTCTAATCTTAACTTCATGAGTGAAGCATCTCAAGCTCTTATATATTAATTTTGATACGAACTGTATATGATATACATTCTAGTATATCAAAAGCATATCACGTTCAAATTGTATTGTAAATTGGCTAGATTTGAGCCAAATAAATTAAATCTGGAAGTTTTTGCAATCAATAAACGAAAACTAAATAAATAAAAAAAATTGTCTCGGGAGCTTTGGGACCCTAGAGGTCATTTTGTTACCTACCACAGGAACAGACTGGACAGCCCTGGTCACTGAATTCCACACAGGACTGTGGACAGTCAGGGGAGACCTGGGGACAACCTTGACCTTTGTGGCTGTTACCAGGGATACGGGCGTTGCTATGGCTACCAGTATTTAAATGGCTGGCTGTCATACCATTGGTGTAGCTGCTGCTAGGATGACTGCTAGTGTGACCTGTGTTTCCAGAAGAGATTTTGTACATAAAAAGATTATCGTTTTCCAATGAAATAAATTCGAAAAATGTGTTTGAAAAAAAAGTTAAATTGTCAATTCTGACTATTTGTATTCAAAAATTTTAATATAGCCCGCGTGATGCAGTGTTTAGATCGTCTGCTCTACATTGGAGGGGTAGAGTTGATCCTCAGTTCTGATAACTAGTATTCACATTTCACAATGTTTAATAAAAGTTATGTTTGTTTATGATTAAGCATGGGATAAAACCAGCTATAAAATATACATGTACTATAATTTATAAACAAAATATGGTAAGGGATCGGTTGGGGTAACCTAGTTGGAAGGGCGTTTGCCTTGTATTCAGGAGGCCCGGGTTCGAGTCGCACATAAAAGGTATAATGTAGTAACTGTTCCTTCGACTATTGCCCGATGTTAGAAGTGATAGTCACGGGTCTTTTAGACAGGACCTTAAAAACCACGGTACCACGTCTCGGTAGGAGTTAGCATAATAAGGAACTTCAACTACTCAATGGTATGGAGTGGAATACAAAGGTCCTAAATTTGAATCTTTTCAAATTCACTGGTATACATGACGTCTCTAAACGAGTGAAAAGTTCGCAAATAATAGGACTTCCGACAACATATACTCAGTAATCAATCAATCCAATTGACATGTGTTATTTCTGGATACTTTCTTCTGCAACGTGGTTTTTCTGGAAACTTTTGATTTGACCTTATCTTTATCTGATTGGATATGCATCTGTTGAGCAGTGCCTATCCTTAGGACAAAATTTGACTTTCTGTCCCATAGCCTTTACGAGGATTTTACCTTTTGTGATATGAGGATACAGAAAATTGGATCCCTGGCCTATGGATTGTGTTCGATAAATTTACCTGACATGATTTGAGCCTGAAGTGCCCTGACTTTTTCCAGGGACCATGACTTGGGAACGATGATCTTGCCATTCACGTACTGGATAGAAACCGTGTCTCCAAACACAATCTTCCTCTCTGAAGATTTGAATACATAATCATAAAATAGAAAGCATTATTTATAATTAGAAGGGAAAAGAGGGATTATTTAATGGGAAATTTTTTTAAATAGAAGTTATTGTCGCTAAGAGTAGTAGAAACTTTTCTAAACTTACAAAGAGAAATGATTTACTTATTTTAATAAAAAAAAATTGTCTGTTACCTAGATTCCCTGAGTCTGAATTTTCTTTGTTCTTGTTTAAAAACCCGCCCATTAAACTGTCTGCGCCTGCGCTATTCATTGACAATCCTCCCATAGAGGGCGACAGGTCTGCCTGACTGCGCATAGAAAGCATCGCCATATTGAAAGGCGTCTGGCTGGCTCCACCACGCATAGATCCGCCAACTGACACAGACCCTGAAAATGGCGACATACCGGTGCCGCCACTGGACAGACCGTTCGGTAGTCCCTCACCTCTGTTAGATAAACCAGCAGGAAACATAGATTGTGACATTTCTTTATTAGCAAAAGGACCGGAACTTGTGGACGACATGCTTTGTCCATTTCCGCTTTGGCCACTTCCGGGAATGTTTCCGGAAGTCAGAGGTCTAGGACCGTAAATGAAGGATTTGTCGGCCAGAGCTGAAGAATGTATAAATACTAGGGATGTCAACGAGTACCCGGTTAACCGGGTACTCGATCGATCGTCCGAGTATCGAATATTAAAATAGGTACTCGGTTACTCGGATGTATATTTTTAAATATTTCTCAGCTTATTTATTAATGCATTAAACAATCTGTTTTAAAACGTAAAATACTCATTGCACTTGTACATACAGTAATTAGGGTTTCCTACTCCTCTAAATGACCGTTATCGCCCGTGGCAGTGTTTATACAGCAATTATCGTGACCAAGCACCTGTTACCTGGCTTTTCTCACCTTCGGCTGTCTTCTACCCTTATTTTTTGATTTGCTTTAATTATTTGTTTTCACTGAAAATCGTTTAAGGTCTGTTATGATTGAATAAACTAGACAATTTTGTCAATTCTCTGAGAAGCTGTAAATTCGCGGGAAAAGAGACAGATGATATAACATGCGCGATTGTTGATATGGTTGTGTTTGATTACATGCCAATACATGTACAAATGGTTGAAGGCAAAGGCTTTAAAAAACTGATGTCCATCGTTGCATCAAACTACAAAATACCGTCACGTAAAACTATAAAATCTGGGATCGAAAAGTATACGAAAATCGTAAATCCGCTCTGTTAGGACTTGGTTAAGTTCAAGTCAAACTGTATGACTGATACCTGGACGTCAAACGCAACAAGGAGTTACATTACAATTACGGAGTAGGTTTTTTTTTTAAAACGGAAACACCGTGAACCACTTACGATTTTATTAGTCCCCTACCGGTGAAACCGGAGTGGACTATAGGTTTCCTCTGCGTCTGTCCGTCTGTCTGTCTGTCCGTCCGTCCGTCTGTCTGTCTGTCTGTCTGTCTGTCTGTCTGTCTGTCCCCGTCTGTCTGTCAGTCTGTCCCACTTGGTTTTCCGCACTTTTTTTCTAAACGCTTGCAGATATTGAGCTGAATTTTGGTATGTGAGTGTATCTTGATGAGTTACAGATCAAGATTGAATTTCGCATCGCTTCATTAATTTTTGACAGAATTATGGCATTTTGAATTTTTTGCATTCGTTTAATTAAGATCGGGTTCGTGCTGCGCTAACTTCCGATGGTCGACATAAATACGAAGCGAGTAAAAGACGTTGGAAAAAATGAGTTGAATTTTCGTCTTAATGTGGATTATTGTATTAGGTTTAATGCATTCACGACCTAAAAAAAATCATGCAGTTTTACCTTGGACATAACTTTTGCATTTTATAAAATGACATCCTGAAGAAAAAGGGGAATCCGGTAGGGGACATGTATTGCTTATGCAATACTCTCAGAATGCTTGTTTATTGTGTTTATCTGATAAATAAATTGAACTTAATTAAAATTTTGTATTAAATTTCGTCGGGCACGAAGTGATCATCATTGTTACAACAGAAATGCATTTACGGGTACATCTCCTATCAGAGCATGTGGTTTTATTTCTACAAGAGTTTACAATGTATTACATTCATCAATTTACATGTTCATATTAATTTACACTTTTACCGAGTACCCGGGTACTCGATCGGAAAAACGTCCGAGTAACCGAGTATCAAAAATTGACCGATTTGACATCCCTAATAAATACTGATTTATTATGGTGTCATATGCTAAGTCTTTACTTGCTTTTAAAAATGGAAAATGTCCTTCAATATAAATATTACTTTTTTCAAAAGACCGATGAAGATTACTTACCTCCCATTCCAAGCGACATTTGACTCATCATACCACCTCCACGCCGATTTCGCGCCCTCTCTTTCACATCCGGGACCTTGTGTGTTTCATCTGGAGGTTTGATATGCCTCTCGATCTCGATGAAGTCCTTTTGTTTGATTTTATTTCTCTGGTCCTTCCATTTCCCTTTCGTTCCTCCAAAATTCTGTGTTAAATGTATTTGTGTTGCACAATCGCAACTTTTCGAGACCAGAAAAGAACTCAAACATGTTTCAAAAAAGACATTTGATGCTAAAATTTCATGCATAAGGAGTCGTCCTCAAGAAATCAAGCCAATTTAAAGACTAGTGTGTACAATATTTAACATGATGCTTAATAAGAGAAAAGGTATATCATCACGAGAACAAGGGAACAATCGTCACATTAATATTACGCCAATAAAAAATTACAGATTTTGACATATTTTTTTTCACAAAAGAGTGAGGCGCCGAAGAAAGTTTTTCTCTACAGTGGAAAACAAGGAAGTTCTCTCGTTCTAGAAAAGTTGCGACCTTAAATTTATTTTACTGATTTATAACAAACATGTACCTTAAAATTGGAATCGTCGGGTTTATGACTTTCTCCGAATATTTCACTAGTCGTCAGGGTAATTCCATCATAAAAGGCTTTTTCATGATTAGGGTGATACACAAGGTTGATGTTTTTATGCCCAAGTGATGTTTGTCCCGCAACTACAAAAGAAAAATGTTTTCATTTAACATGTTTATTACTGCAAGAGTAAAGTACGTATAATATTAATGCGTTTTCCGATAGCTACTACTTAGATTTAATGATATGAGAAATTCCTGGACAAGGTAGGGTGTCGATTCTAAACAGATACATATGTAATACAAAACAAGACAAGGCATAAATTGTGACTTTTTGATTAGTAATGAATTCATACCTGCCAGGAACAAAATTCCCATTAAACTATGAATCACTAAATTAAACATGTTGCGTAATTTGTTCAATCGATCTCAAAAAACTAATCTGTAGTCACGCATGCGTAAATCGGCCAAAGTCATGACGTATATATTTTTTGACAATACTAGCAGACAACGCCTTCTATCACCAAGATATGGCAAACAGAGGAATTGTAGTAGGGGGCGAGTCGATTCAAACACCTGCCTGGATTGTTAAATTATCTTTGAATTGAATTTCTCGTCTAACTGGTGTATCTTGTTTGGTAAATTTTGGAGCTTAGCTGATTATGGTAGAGCTGTAGTCTACCGGAAACTGCAATACTAGTATATTTCTAAATTTCGGGCAAAGATAATACAAAGCATGACGAATTTATCATCGGTTGTTAATATAAAAAATTCAAAATAACATATGAAATGCAAGGTTAAAAAGAAAAAAGAGGAAAAAAAATTTCCCAGTTTCTGTACCTGTGCGGCATAACAGCTGTGTTGTCCCGGGAGTAATTGTCATTGTTTTGATATTAAATATACCTTATGCTACTTAAGATGCATCGACAACTTCGAACCCAGGTTAAGGACAAAGATGGATTTACTTCCGGTTGAAGGAATTTAGAGCAAACGTCCTCTTTTAGTATATTTTAATATGTTCTACGGTGCGACCGTTGGGGCGAGCGCAGTTATATATTTACTATCAAAAAACTTACTCAGCTTTTAGTTGTACTGCCTATCCTTAGTTCATTAAAAAAGAAGAAAAGAATAAACAAAAATCACTTCCCAGGCATCAGGATCGAGATTCCGAACTTTTCGGAAGTTTCCGACAAAATCGGAAATACCCGAGCCATTAGAGTGACGAAAGAATGACGTCATATAAAAAAAGCCCTGTTTATTTAGAACGAAACGATAGTTTTGTGGCATGGAGATTGCATTAAATCGTTGTTTTTAATTTTTTTTCAAGTAACTTGTTGCTATGTTTTAGCCACCATGTTGCTATGCACCGCAAAGGATTATTGGGAGTTTGGAATTTTTTCACGCGGTGAGATAAAAATTTCTTGAAACAATGTGCAGTTTTCGACCCGAATTTCCTCCGTTCGTACACGTTAGTCTATTGAGCTCGCTACGCGAGCGGCGCTTCGCGCCGCCTCGCTATTAATATAAAAAAAAATGAATAATGAAATCCCAACTAAGTTAATACATATTATCTCACGCAATGCTTCTGAAGGTTTCATAATCGACTTAACTTCAGATCCGCGCCCAACTGTATGACTTATCTACAAAACCTCTACAAGTATATTGAGTATCCGTCAAATATTATCGTGCCATAGGGTCAGACAATGTGAATTTTTGTTGTTAAATCTAATGGCGCTAAAAAACGAGCAATATTAGGCCTGAAATATCTCACGTGTCTTCGTGTGAATAGTGTTCTCTTGTGATGGGATATATATTTCTTTCTGTTTTTTGGGTCTTTATTGGTTTTTCTGAAGGTAAGACAACTTTACGTTCACCGCTGGATCTAATGGACTTACTGTTGATTGTGTTTATAAACTAAGATTTCAGTTTGTTAGTTTGAATCTAACCTTTTTGGTATTACATGTAAGCATACAGTAAAATTGAAAAAGAGAAAAGAAAGATTTAAATTAAAGTAGATACTTCCTTATCATTTGCGTTGAAGATTTAGTCAGAGAACTTAATATGACGAAAGGCAATCAAACCAGAATTTAATTGGCACATGCATCATTTTTTTAATACAAAAAAGAAAGACATTTTTGATTCTGAGCATTTTTTTTTTAATTTTCACCTAAAGTTTATACATTTATGTTCAATGTTCTTTTAATATTTTATCGCAGCCTTCCTGTTTACAATTACTAAAAACACCGCTTTGGGGTCATGTCAACCGAATTTTCTCTGTCCTCCAATGTGTTTGAAAAAGACGACTTCCGGTTGTGATTGTGACTGTAGTAACATGGACCCTTCACATCCGGGGAATCTCGGAGGGAATCCCAACCAACAGATGAATTCAGGAGGTTATAAATATCACTTAATGAAAAGGAACCCTACCCTAAAAGTGTTGAATTTTAAAGACTAAAACGTGAATGTCGAAGAAGTATTGATATACTCTCAATAGAATTACAAATTCGTATACTATGCACATATAATCTCGATTCAATAATATAGTTCTCAGAGACTAGCTGGTATTCTTTTTATAAAAAAAAATCAAAGCGTTTTGTCAGGAAAAAAATATTTGAAAGAATGTATCCTGATTATTGGTTTCTATAGAGACAATGATAGAAAGAACTCATTAATGTTCTACCTTTATATTTTTCTCTTCTTTCTTTTCCTTTGGTTCGTCCAGATTTTTTTTTTTACACTTATTTCATTTCAACGATGAAATTTGTCAACCCCTCCATTATTATTTCATTGGAAGTGCATAGGCAACACACTGTCTTCCTAATCTGACCCTTAACCCTATTTTTCTTGATCTGATTATATAAATACTTATTCTCTAGATTAATTTCACACTGTATCCTTATCAATGCTTTGATTCCTTGTAAGGTCAAGTAACGCTGATAGGCACTGGTTGCAACACAAACTGGATGAATTGTCGGTCACCGTGCGCAGCAGCTGTCAACCCCACTTCCGGTTGTGTAGAGTGCAACTGTCGTATGTAATTATTTACAGTTTGCATAATTCCCAGTTTTGCTAGGACTTTCACTGTTGAAATATTCATAGGATGGAATTTCGGGCAAATGCCAATTAGTGTATCAAATAACCCATAACATTGTCTCGTCCGACAAAGAGGTAGTGTTTAAGTCGTCTGATCGTTGTGAACAATTTAAAGTTCCTGATGTTATTTATTTCTTAACCAATGAGAATTTATTCGCCATTTGACATACCCTAATTGCGTAGCGCCGAGAATGCCACGCCTTACTGAAAGTCCAAGCTTATCTGGGAATGGTTCTATATTAAAAAGGAACATTTGTTGTTAAACAGGAGAGACGGTTCACTAATCTAGAAATCATACCAAAAACCTTTGATCTCAATATTTTTTTTTCTAGATGGCCTCTAACTGATGAAATTCTATTCAAAATTTTGCAGCCCAAATCATGACATCATCGCCGGTTACACAATCACAGCCAGTTACGACGTCATACAGAAGCACCGCTTCACAGTCACCCAAATCATCAACGATTACATCAGCTGCAACGACGAAAGGAACTACCTCACGTGTATCTAGTAAAATGACGTCACGGACACCTTCTACAACTACCACAACACAATCATTTACAACGTCACAAAAGACAACTACGTCACAACCCACTACCACGAAAATCACAACACAATCGACGACACAGACCCTTTCTTCGAAAAGAATCTCAACCACTGCAGCGCCGCCTTTCGCTGTCTCGTCAGCTTCTTCAACTAAAACTACCAATTCCTGTCCTGGCGCTATACAGTGTATTCTAGGCTGTAAGAATGGATTCGTGATCGATCCTATACCAGGTCCCGATGGTTGTCCTAGCTGTTCATGTAAAACGGGTAAGTTTATTTAAAAGGGCAATGATCATAGAGAGAGATAAGAATTCTTGAATACTAGTATATATTTACCACTTATTTTTACAATGTATATTTCAGTTCCAACAACTCTGAAGACGACTTTGTCCACAACATCATTTAAGGTAAACCTTTTTTTCTGAAATCCAGTATATTGGTATATTAGTATATCTAAATTTCAATTAACTTAAATTGACTTAAAAATTTATTCTTTTCATTAATGAGACGTAAGGTCTTATATTTTTGGATTTTCTGTATTGATTGACACTAACTAAAGAACTGCATTTAATTGAAAACAAAAAATGAAATTCAAAGTTGTACAACCAATATTCCTACTTAATTTTTAATTGAATTTTCCCTTAGCCCATCAGTTTCCCAGCCCACTTCACGATCTCGCCGTCAGTGACCACGCCCACCACCATGACACGCCCACCTAGCAGTACTCTACGGAGAATCATTTGTCCGGGGGTGTTCAACTGCTCTAAGACCTGTTACACTGGATACCGCCTCGACTCTCAGGGGTGTCCGCTATGTGAATGTGCACCACAACCAACAGGGCTGCCGTGAAAATTGTGTGAATAAATTAAAAAAAAATAAATTTATGGGTTGAATGTATTTTCCCTCAAATTTTAGTGTAGTTTTGTCTATTTGAATACAGATTGTTCCTGCCAATATGACACAGAACGCTTATTACAGCAAACATTGTTATAAATCAGAAGAAAAACGTGATTGGTGCAGTTGCATTGACGATGCATTATATAGTTCATATAGTCAATAAGAACAGAGCATTCCTCTACAACATCAAAGATGGGATTATGTTACATGGAGGAGTGAGCATCCCCTGCCGACGTTAACATACATTTAACCTATAGTTTATAAAAAGTGTTCGTTTAAAAATGTTTGTTCCTATTAGACAACTTGAATAATTTTTTTCAGGTTAAAAGATTTCAGTTTCTAATGAATATATTTCACCAATGTTTGATGAATTGAAGCCGTTTCATGGAGCAGGGTCAAAATACATCTTTGTTCCTAAACGATTTTTTTGTAAATAAAAGGGCTTTGCTTTAATTTTTTTCTCATGAGACAACCTTAATAATTGTAAGAGTAATGGTAGAATCTTACTATCGCCTGCATATTGTGTATTATATTTATTTTGTACGCTGCCATACTCTGAGTACAAATTACTTTTCACAAAAAAGACAGAATTCTGACAAATATGTTGACACTACAGGACTTTCAATTAAAGTAAACACTCTAAGATTCCTGGATCAATATGACTTGTTAGCAATGTGTTTAAGTTTACCAATTTAACAGAAAAATCAATAGAAGCCATATCTTTAAAAAAATAAACAGTGCATTTTGCAATAACAACGTGTCCTTGAAGCACCGAAAAAAAATTATATATTTGCATATCCACTGCTCTCTCCCGCTATGAACATGTAGGCATCAACTGCATTCATAGGACTATAGACGCAACTGCTCCTGCTATGAGTGCAATGGCTCTATTGCACTCGTGCAGATCGAGCTCTGCTACATAATTGGTGTTGAGAAGTATATATATGAAATGTTTCGTAAAAGGAATAAATATAAGTTTTTAATAATATTTTGTTTGGAAAAAAAGAAATTCAGAACAATTTAAAATTGCTGAATGATATCTTTAAAAAATTAATTTTGGTCAATGTATTTAATTGTCATATAAAACTTTTTAAAAATTGAAGACAACTCCATATTTTTATTTTTTCTTATCACATTTTTGCATATTTGTACAAAGAACGATAACTCTTCACACTTGGGTTATGAAACATTCAGAAAGAGCAGTATATGTCTATTTCAAGAACGATTTCAGCTCTTAAAAATAAATAGAAAAAAAACTTTAAAAATCATAGAAAAGCATTCTGGAGTTACATGTATAATCATTATTAAAGCATTCTCTTTTTTCAACATAAGGTTAAATTACTGATTTTTGTCAGAGGGTTTCAATAACGTTGATCAATGACGTCACAACCGAATCAAAACAAAAATTAGATGGGATGTGACGACGGCGCAGCTTGTACCCAGATAACTGTGTTTATGAGGCAAATACTCTATAAATTGTATGTGATTATTAGAGAAAAGGTGCAATGATCAGATATACTAATTTTAAAACACCGTGTCTTTTTCTTTACTGAAGACAACAAGCCACATCCATATGTAAGCCAGGATTTCCTCTGATATTCTTGACAACATCAAAGAATGCAAATATAAGTAATAAACAACGATTATTTAGTGAACATGGCATTATGAATAGCAATAGCTCTGCTGGCATATTTTCCATGATGCGCTAGCGCGCATCATGGAATATGCCAGCAGAGCAATTGCTATTCATAACGCCATGTTCACTAAATAACGTTGTTTATTTCTTAAATAAACGTCCATAGATGAACAAGGTTGAACAAGATTTTGTTTTCCTTATATAATTTAGAGGTATTTATCCATCAGCAAAGAACGATAACTCTTTTAAAAAGTGTTTTATAACATGAACACTCAATCCAACTTTTTTTAGTACCCGGTATGCTTAAAAATCTGATTATAATTTTATATTTTGTTTACATTTTATCAAATCATGTATTAGTATAAGTAAACATCAGGGAGTCGTTTTATTGACAACATGTCAAATGGACTGGACACAAGTTCCAAAAACTTAGATAGTCCTCTCCCATACATAAAATATCAAAAGCCTTAAATATTTACAAAAAGCCATAAAATATTTACAAAGATCAGAGAGTCGTTTTGACAAACTTCAAATTTCCTTGGAAAAGTATTCAAATTATAATATCTGTGAATTAACTGCTATATGAAACACCTGGCTGGAGTTTTGCTTTTATAAATAACAAACAATTTGTTTTTTTAAATAAGAACGAATCATCAACACGTTTAAATCATGCAGCATTAAATCATGGATTCATTTCCTATCTTTATACTTGATTAGCATGCCCGTGGAAACGATCAGACAGTTTCTTTTCGAATGAATGAAACTGATTTTGACAAACACATAAGAAAAGAATATTGGAATCTACGATTTATTTCGTTTTGTCAATGACTTGGCGCAGTGGTTGGAGTGTCTGCTATTGAGTCGCGAAGAATTTGATCCTTATGTCGCGGGTTCGATACCCAAGATGGAACATGGAGATTGGTTCCTTTTGGACGAGACTTAAAAACCCTGACCGCTGGTTACACAAGGTGCTGGCAAAAAAAAAAAAAAAAAAAAAAGATCCCTCATTCTTTAGATCTCAGTGCCGAGTACTGGTATAATTTTGCAAATCTTTAACTACTATTGGTTGCGTCACTGTAGACATGTATCGGTGATAAATTATTCAACGGACGGTGGAAATAAACAAAACAGACAAACAAGCAACCATTTTTTTGTTTTTAGTAAAATTCGCTGATTTGAGAAATACGACCTTTCAAAAACTACATATTACTAACATAATTTATCTCTTATGACAAAGATTATCAACGACCAAAAAATTGACTAACCTCCAGCCCGGATATAGATTTATGCGCCATCTTGTTATCTATGGCGGTAGCGGATTTGAATAAAAGAACCGTGGTTAGGAAGACACGTATGAACGATAACTTATCACAAGGGTCCAGAGTTATCTCCCGCTGCTGACACCTGCCCGCTAAAATGTTAAAGAGCACAGGACGCATAAAGACTCGTTAGTCCCACCAACATCGCGGGCCGAATGATAGATTAAAAATTAATTGTTACGCAAAGAAAATTAAATTGGACAAAATGTTTTCATTACAAGATTTCGGATTTCTAACTATATTTCTCACTTGTACATGTAAGTAGTTTTGTTCTTTCCTTGTTAAGAATTTCATTTAGAAGACTTAAAATAAAGATCAAGTATATGCTCAAAAATAAAAGTTTTGACCGACTACTGGGAAAGTGAATTGAAATATTTCTCTGGATCTATGCAGATTGAAATACAAGCTTAAACTGCAACCTACCCTGGCATTTGATTCAGCATTTAGTAGAATAAAATAAATTAATTTAATTCGCTTTTTTTTCAAAGCCGGATATTATCTTTGTCCCCAAAACGTGCAGTGTCCGCCCGGATGTACTAAAATAGATACAAGAGGATGTAAACTCTGCGCATGCGGGCCTGGTGAGTATATGATGACCTTAATTAGTTTAAATATTTTAATATTATCACTGGATCACAACTATTATGCTTTTATTGATATAATTTTCGGACTTGTCCTGTTCGATTCAGAGTGAAAAACTGTATTCGCCTATCAGGAAATAAATACTAACTTAAAATATATTTAATGGAATTACATTTCTGGCCGATGTTTAAATATTTTTTGAGGATTTTTATTTTCATTTAAGAAGAAACAACCTCCCTTTTTATACAACATTGGGAGAAGGGAAAATTGTAACCGAAATATTTTAATGCATTTGGAATAATTTTGAGAAAGTATAGTAAAAATTATTTAATATATCATTATCATAAAAGAGTTAATAAATGGTCATGACAAGACACAAAACACTAATCTCATGTGTGATATGCAATACAGACTATCCAACAAGACAGTTCAAGGAAGGCTCCTTTAATGGATACCCATATATTTCGGAATACCGAGTCCGATTTTGAAAAGAACAGTATGCAAAAAATAAAAACATGTACACATCTTTTTAGGTATGTTCCATCCAGGAGGATACGTAGGAATGCCTAAAGGTAGTTTTTTTTAAGGATGATCAATTTTGTTCGGCGCTTAATTACTTGACAACAGTTCGCGAAATCCTAAATAGTATTTCTTGTTTAAAGTGGTATAAAACTCGTGAACAAAAAAGTGTTAATTGACTGGAATTGTTTTAATAAAATTCATTCAAAATGTAAATGAATCAATAATTCATAACTAAGTGAATAAATGAAAATTCAATGTTATTGTTAAAAATTAAAATTCTTTCATACCAGTCAGTCTTTATTAATTCTACGTAATTGTCAAACGTAATAAAAAATTCAGTTGATTGATGATTTTTTCCCATTTGATGTTTACAGGAATGATGGGTGGTTTCGGAGGATTCCAGCCCGGATCTATGGGGGGAGGGAGTCCTTTCGGTGGTATGCAGGTAAAATGTGTTAATAAAACGCATTTTCTTCAATTGAAAGTGTCATTTTCTTGAGTCTTTATTTTATGCCTTGATCACAGATTTGTATTTTTTGTGATTTATTTATTAAAAATTACATTTTGAAATCGTCATCGCTTTCATAAAATAGATATATGATAAGAACCGGAAAAAAGTTTTTTTTAAAGAAGGTATCCCCCCTTACCTTAATTGTAGTTTGAATAAAAATAACATCTTTAATGATTTCAGACCATACCCTTTAGAGTAAAAAAGAAGGCCAAAATGTAAATAATTGCATAAAAGACATTTTGACCTACATTACACTTTTACAGGGCGCTAAACACGTGTCTGAGCGGCCATTGAAGCAGTGCCCCGGCACCATGCTGTGTATGATGACGTGTAAAGGTCACTACACTCTGGGTGACGTAGGCAGTAACGGCTGTCGATCTTGTACATGCCCCACCCACCATGAAACGTCTTCACATGGTAATTTACACAACGTATTTGCTAACCTATGCATTTGAGCATGCGTGTGATTATTTTATCATAAAAATTTCTATCCCTTTTCAAAAAAATCATGTGGGTTTAAGGATAACTTTTTAAAGACCAATGTGAAGTAAGTAGACTAGTTTACATGAATTTTCCATTCTTTGACGTATGCGTATTTAAACAGTGATGGTGGTACAAACGTCGTCTCACTCTTCGTCTCACACATCTTCTCACCACGACTGCGCGGGAACTAAACTGTGTATGATGACCTGCCACACTAGGTATATGTTAGGGGAGAGGGGTTCCGATGGATGCCAATCCTGCACTTGTCTTCCAGGTAATTCTTCATTAAAAGCTGATTTACTAAGAAATGCTTTTTTGAAGTTTTTATGAGGGAACCGAAAACCCCGGCTAAGAATTAGAATGTTAAAAAAGAATCTTGGAAATACAAGCATGGAAATAAAATAAATACTAGACAATAGCAATTTAGAGGTCTTCCGATGAATTCTGCCGACCACAATCAAATGTATCTTTAAGATTATGATCTAGAGTTTTTAGAGTACTTATTTAGCAAGGCTCTGAGTCTTCTTCTTTTATTAATTTTGCCTTTAACAATCACGTTTTATCTTTACATGTCTTAAACCTATAAATTCACCTTGTATTTCATCTTCAGTATTATAAAAGCATTGTTTTACTGAAAACATTTAGTATATAGCAATCTTAAGATAATATTCAGATAAGAAGTACATCCCACGCTTTACATGAAACCTATTTTGAGACAACCCCTGATGATTTCTAACAACAGCCCCCACCGAGGCCCCGAAGCCCGCCCCCACTAAGTCATGCATGTCCACCGTACTGTGTATGCTGTCCTGTAAGACTGGATATTCCCTGGGTTCAGCTGGCAGTGACGGTTGTCAAACTTGCACGTGTATTGCACGTGAGTATTTTTCGATTGATTTGGCTATGGAGTGTAACTTTCTTTCATGGAGAGCTATTGTTATGCTTTTGCAGTAAATCTAGTTTCAGGTTATTAATGCTGTTTTTGTATCTTCTAGTTATGTTTTAATCTATCCGAGCAAATGAATTTAATTTTTGACATGCGCATGTTCAGTGTCAAAAACCTTTTTTTCATTTTTAGCACCGACCCAACCTCCTACGACCCCGGCACCAAAGGTCATGACATGCACGCACACAATACAGTGTATGCTTAACTGTAAACAAGGCTACACACTAGGGAACACCGGAACTGACGGCTGTCCACAGTGCACATGCGTAGTTCGTAAGGAAGTCTCTAAAATTAACTTTCCTTTTCCTCACACATGTAGAAGTAAAATAAAGAAAATTTATTTATAACTTAAATAATATGTAATTTAAACCAAATTACATTAAGTTTTGTCGGTAAATAAATATCATTTGAAGTTGTTTAAAGGATTTACCATTGTATATGTTATATTTTGTAATGACTAAATGTGTGTGTCAATGTCATATAGTGAAGTTTGACCTTAATTAATCTCTGTTTTGCTCGAAGGATAACACTATTTCTGTACCGTATATGAGAAGTGATAAGCATTCATTTTATTTCATTGCTGACAGAGTTTGAGTGTTAACTTTATGAGAAGCAATAACCAATCATGTTACAATTCTTTTTTCTGTCCTCGACAGCTACTAAAGTGGTACAAGTGGTGGAGGTGTTGACCTGCTCTAAGAATATAGAATGTAACTCAGGTTGTGGGGCCGGGTATAAATGCGGACATGACGGATGTCCGACGTGCGACTGTATCAAACCAGCGAGTACGTCAAACAAACAAATCACATAATCGTGTAGTTTTTAAGTATCATTATTTCTGATTATTCAAGTCTAATAACATGACCATCTATTGCATATTTACGTTTATGCATTTTTTGGCATCGTTTTCGGTTACGTTTTAATATGACGTTTGTCTTTATGACGTATACTTACTATGACGTCATTACAGCTGTGGGTCTGACGGTGGTTGAGGTAGTTAAACAGCCTGTACGTTGTACTACCGCCTTCTCGTGTCCCGCCTCCTGTGAACTCGGATACAAGTGTGGATCAGATGGGTGTCCCACGTGCGAGTGTTTGATTGCTGTACAAACAGGTATGTGTACGGCAATAAATAGTCCTTGGGCAATATCCAGATTTGGTTGGGGATTTATAATACCCACCTTGTGAGAAATCACGCGTTTAATGTGGTAAACAACTTACTATAATCAATACTTTTTTTGGAAAGTCAGTACTATATGTAAATCAATCTTGATGTATATTGCTTCTTCGTTATTTTTCAAGCATTTTATATGGTGAAATTCTGTGAATTTGCTTGTCATCAGTTGAGTAAAACAATTAGATCATCACGGTATCAAAAAACAAATGTCATTGTAAGTGGCAATGCACCTTCCTTAATTATCATATAATTCTGAATTTTCATCCAGCGTAGGTGATAGACCATAGTTAAACCATAATTGTTATTTTCTTTCATAATTAATATGTGTGTGTTTGAAATTTTTATCCATTAATTGAATCTGCTGAAATGAGATGCATTTTGAACAAAACTAAGTTTCTGCAAAAGATAATTGAATAACTGTATGGCTAAGAAACATGCTCTGATTTCTAATACCGGATATGCAGTTCCTCAGACGACATCTCAGCCTTGTAACGACTGCGATGGCGGTGTAGCAATCCCACAGCCAGTACAAACAGGTCACTGTACGGACTGTGATACAGGTCACGAACAAATAATGCCTCATGTCTCTACTGGTCAAACTTGTGACAAAGGATGTGATAACACGGGGCACTCGAGTGGAGGTACTCCATCTACAACAGGTGGAATGCCGTCAGGCTTCAAGCCAGGATCAGGAACAGGTAACGGAGGAGGAATGCCTTCCGCCTTCAAGCCAGGGTCAGGCACAGCAAACGGAGGAGGAATGCCTTCAGGCCTCAAGCCAGGGTCAGGATCAGGAAACGGAGGAGGAATGCCTTCCGGCTTCACACCAGGGTCAGGCACAGGAATCGGAGGAGGGATGTCTTTTCCTAATTCTAATGGAGGAAGCGGAGCTGCAAGCGGATCGGGTATGACTTCTCCCTTTAATCCCAACACAAATGGGGGCATGACAGGAGGTTCTGGGTCAGGAGGAAGTGGATCAGGTATGCCTTCTCCTTTCAATCCTGGAACGAACGGAGGAACGAATAGTGGGTCAGGTATACCTTCACCATTCAATCCAAGCACAAATGGAGGAATGGGTTCTGGTTCAGGAACGGGTACAGACTCAGGGATATCTTCCCCTTTTAAACCGAACACAAATGGAGGAATGGGTACTGGTTCAGGAATGACTTCCCCTTTTAATCCAAACGCGAATGGAGGAAAGGGTGCAGGAGAAGGATCTGTAAGTCCGAATGGATCCGGAATGCCTTCACCTTTCAACCCAGGAACCAATGGTGGGGAGACTTCATCATCTGGAAACCTTAATGGAGGAGGAATGTCTTCACCTTTTAAACCAAGCTCAGGAGCTTCTAATGGTAATGGAAACGAGGCTGGATCCTTTTCTCCTGGATTGCTCGGAGTATCTGGATCTTCATCAGAAAACACTGGTACGAATTCTCTTTTGCCCCAATTCTTACAAGGAAGCAGTGGAATGAACGCACATCAGACTATTGCGGGAGGAACAGAACCCGGAGCAGGAAACGTAGGTTTCTCAGCCGGTGGTGCTGGTGGTAGTCTCACGCAAATCAACACTGAACAATCGTACGGTCATCAAGTAGACAATAGTCAATACAATGGGCAACAGACAGGCATTGTGGCGACTAATACAAATGGGCAAGCTAGCGGAAATTTCTCAAATCCATTCGTGGCATCAGGAAACGGTGCTTTTACTAACGATGGATTCAAACCGAGTCCTTTCATGCAAGCAGCAGGACAGAATGGTGGGAGCGGACCCTTTGCTGGAGCCATGAATTCTAATAACGCGACTTCTGTCGGCCCTTTTGCTTCAGTAGGCGGGAATGTCAACGCAGGATTCTCAGAAAATACACTTCCAAATCCTTTCCAAGCAACCGGCGGAACAGGTGGTAATGCAGCAGGAAGTAATGGAGCGACAAGCTCAACAGGTTTTGGAAGTAATCCATTCCAAGCTACTGGATTCAGTCAAGGGCCACAGCCTTCAACAGGAATGATGACCGGTGGTACAGGAAATGGAATGATGACCGGTGGTGCAGGGAATGGAATGATGACCGGTGGTGCAGGGAATGGAAAACCAGGTAGTGGAGGGATAAATCCTTCACAAGGTGGTGGTGTAAATGTTGGAGGAAATAAGCCAAGTTCTGGAGGAGGAACAGGAGGAGGTTTCAATCCATTACAAGGAGGAACAGGAGGAAACAGACCTACAGGATTTGGGGGCGGATCAGGACCAGGCATGGGTGGGGGTGCTATGGGCGGCGGAGGTCAAGGGCCAATGGGTAACTTTCACACACCCAGTGGATATGGCGGATCAACGGGAGGAGGACCGATGATGGGAGGATCTACTGGTGGTAGTCAATTGATGGGAGGATCTACAGGGGGCGGACACGGAAGCAAAATAGATGTTCAGTTTGTGATTAAACATTGTCCAGAGACAATGCACTGTATGACCACGTGTCCCCAAGGATACAAACTTGGAGGAGAGGGGAAGGATGGTTGCCCACTTTGTACATGTTTGGGGAAACAAGGAGAAACCATGCAGGGTCTGCCTCACCAGAACACACTGAATGGACTTGGAAGTCTTCAAAAGGGAAAGGAAGCTGGCAAAACGGCACAAACTGGACAAAAAGAAAGTAAGTGTTAAAATTTGTTATTTTCAAAAAAAATATAAAGGTACAGAATTCTTTTTAACGAAATTTAGAACATGTAGCTTAAACTAAATTAATTGCCTTAGTATATAAAGCCAATCATAATTTTTTAAAGAACGTGTTCTTTGAATAATTAAAAGTTTTAAATATATATTATCTTACAAGAATCAAGAAGCAAATAGTCATTTATTACTTATTTCTTGTGCTATATACCCAGCATGATTTATCATAGATACAACCATCTCGAAACACAACATAAAGATAAAAAAATACTGAACTCTCCTCATTGAAAATCAGTTTGATGTATATATATATATTTTCTATCCGTATACATTCTTTATCATTTTTAATATCCATTTCACTTTCCCAGCAGAATCTACGTCCATTCTTTGTCCGCCATCATTTTCATGTTCGCTTACTTGTCTTCATGGATACGTACCAGACCCTAGCGGTTGTCCCTCATGTTCTTGTCACATGGTACCAGGTATTTCATTTTTGTGTAATGGTGAATCTGATATCATTGAGACTATTTAATTAAATCGATTTCCTTTAAAGAAAAATCACAATTTCCATACTTTGAAAAAAAAATAAAATTTTGTTCAGAAATTTGTCGTACGTTTGTCGTACGTTAACATCATTTTCTCTTATGCTGTCAGATTCCACCTCGGCGACCCTCTCCTTCATCAAATGTCAAGGCCACTTCCTCTGCTCTGATAAATGCCAAACAGCTTACGTAAGCGGAAGCGATGGATGTCCACAATGTGCCTGTGTGCCGGGTGCGTGTTTGAACATGCACGCTTGGAATCAGAAATGGACTGAACACACGTGAAGATGTTACGTGTATATCTTGCCTGAACCAATCCACGTCTTTAACCTGTCTGCGTGTTTATTTTGCCTTACCCGTTTGTGTGTTAATCTCGCCTAATTTTGTCTACGTGTTTATTTAACCTGAACCTGTATTCATGAACCATCTTTGTTTTTACCTCGCATTCATGTGTCTCATTTTCTTCATCAGATCCAATCATTTTCTCACAACTGTCTTTTGTACTGCCTGAAACTACTTTATTTGTTTTTGTTGTAATAGGATGTTTGTTTTTTTTACGCAGTAACGACAGTTGTATTTCGCGTAGCTATAAATCGCAGCCTCTTTTTCAGTTTCCAAACCTCAACCACAACCTCAACGCCAGCCTCAACCTCAGCCACAGCCTCAGCCCACACATATTGACGCCCACGCCATTCTGGCACATTGCCCATCTACAATGAACTGTATGACGTCATGCAAAGAAGGATACACACTTGGTGGAACTGATGCTCAGGGATGCCCCAGCTGTTCATGCGCGAAGATACAAAAAAGTATGAAATACACTGACTTTTTCGTTAAATATGAACAAAGGGTTCATTTTTTAATGCTGTATTTATTTTTTATTTTTCAAGCTGACAATTGCAAAACGGGATGTGCAAAACAACCAACAGCGGTCGCAGTCAAAACATGTGACGCAACAATTTCTTGTATGACATCATGCGACCATGGATACACACTGGGGGAGAAAGGTCACGACGGTTGTCCTGCATGTAGATGTGAAGCAAAATGCACCACGTGTGAAACCCATCCCATCGTAGTACAGAAAGTAGACGAATGTCACAACTGTGAAAAGAAACCAGTTGTGGTAGTCCAGAAGACCTCAGAATGTACAGAAAACTGCGGGCACCACACGGGTAAAACAAAATTATAATAAAATACCACATTGATTATCTTCATTCTCTACTTTAAATCATTTTGTCAGTAAAATTGAAATGCCTTAATTAACCTTTATCCTTTTTTATGTTCATACATACTTACATGCAGTACACGTAAAGCCTGACCAAGAAATCATTCAATTGGACCTTTACAATTTAAAACAATCATAATTATTCCAGGAACATACGTGGCTGTGAGCGGATCTAGTGGAGGTACATCTGGCGGTGCCGCGGGTGGTAGTGGCGGGTTTGGTGGCAGTTCCGGTGGTCTATCAGCTGGAGGTGGTGGCATGTCGGCAGGAGGCAGCGGCGGCATGTCGGCAGGAGGGATGGCAGCAGGCGGAAGCGGCGGAGGTATTAGTAATATCTGTTTAAAACCATTTCTGATGGTAAAATAAACGTCTTTCTTTCACTCCGTTGTTCGAGTTGTTTAAATACAGCTTTAAAGCTTGCATTTTCCCCTTCTTTCACATTTATAAAAGTATTCCATTTTATAAACTACTTGTATTTGTTACAATTCTAACAGTATAAATTATGATGTAGTCCCTTGATTCATCTGTAAATAAACCCGGTTCTCAGTACTTTTATTACTTTGATTTTGTATTTATTTCAAAGGAGCCCAGTGTAAACCTCTCCCCCCAAATTGTCACCCTCATTGTATAAAGTATGATGTTGCTCACTGTCGACTATGTATGTGTGAAAGTGGTAAGTGTTAATTATTTTCTGCTCGGTATCATGTAGCATAAGACACCGTTTCATTTGTATATAATAAAAGTAAAGATACGTATGTATGTCATCCAAAAAAAAAATACATGTAAGTATAACAATAATGAAAGTAATTGCTGATCTGTAAATGCTTTAAATTGGCGTGTTTTAGAAAAAATTCTGTTAAGTTTGTCATAAATCTTAAGTCAAAATAATTGTTAAAGAGAACGATTGTAATTTATCATAAATAAGAATTCTAAATTCATATATCGATTTCATTCAATATCAGCTTCTTGTATTTTGTTAATTATGTTGTCTTACTTATTTTTTGGTTTGCTTACAGAACCCATGCACGGATGAGAAACCATTTTTGCTTTCACTAGTATTCAGAACTGTTTGTTACGCATCAATGCATTCTGTAAACATCTCTCATAAACAAATAAAAGACTTTTTTTGGTATTTTTCTCATTAATTACCCAAGGTTATACGACCAAGAGGGTTAGTTGCATATAAAATATCAAATTAAGGATAGGTGGAATACCCCTTACATGTTTACTTCATAGTGATCTTTTTCTACATATATCTGACTTAATCACTTTGCCTCAAATAAAACGAAGAATGCATGCTTATTTAGAAATGACGCCATTTTGTTACTTCTATATATAGAAATATAAAGGAAAAATTCTGAAAAAGGAATGGGTTCGAAATACCCTGATAACCATCCATCCGCTAGATCCACCACTGATTTCTTACAATGGGATGGTTATCCTTGTAGCAGCTTAGTTATTGAACGATTAAGATTCTGTTTATCACTGCTTTTAGGAGGCACTGTACTGTAAACGTATTACGTTTGGTCGTGCATTCCATTTAGCGCATTTCGCGGAAAACATCTTCCGCTTAATCAATAACAACGCTAAATCTTTTGTTTACATCTACATGTATTCATATACAGAGCATTCACAACGCGCTAGATTAAATATATGCAAACACCTTAAAAGTTTAATTTCCGCCTATGCCAAGTAAAATGCATTTACAGTACCATGAAGGAATAAAGAGAAGAATTCAAAAGCAGAAAACGAAGAGAAATTTTTGATCAAGAAATGAAAACTTTATCTTTCTTAGCCTCAACATTTATTCCCCCGAATGCTATGACCTCGTTTTAGATCCAACACATCACGTGCCGAAAATCCATTCATACTGGCTTTGAGGTTCTGTATGATGTTCTTGTAAACTGATATGCGGAAGCTGAGGTACATACATCCGCCAGAGGTAGCCAATAAACACAGCCCGAGCCCGACGTTAAGGAAAACGAAGGAAGAGATCTGCCAGCAGAAATCATCATTGGTTATAACCTCTAAAATGGAAAAAAAAAATAACCACGTCGAATTAAAATGTCAGCCAGTTTAATAGTGAAAAATTGGTATTGAGATGACCATCTAGATTTATTAGGGAAAATCGAAACCGTTTATATCTCACAGAAAATTTGAATAGTTTAGTAATCTATCAGAATTAATACGAAAGATGTATACAGAATCAGTACTCGAGTAATAGAATTTTACTGTGGTTGAAGAAAGTTTCATTAGATTTTACGTTCTTCCTACAAATTCTAAGAATTAAAAAAAAATTCTTAATATGTGCATATATCAAAAACGTCCCTTACTTATCCTGGAGTATTTGTCCACGATATCAATTCTTGCCCCGACGTCGATATCGTCATCTTTGCGTCTTGATTGTCTCTTCTTCCGGCTGCGCTGGTAGTCACGTGATGAACCGGAAGTAATAATGTATCCCAGATGACTTCCTGCTTCTTTTGTTTCCCGTCTTTTTCGACCCCACCCATCGTACACATCACCACATAATGACTTGTAAATTATAGCAAATATTTATTCAATATTTGTTGCATTTGAAGATGTATTCAACAAAATTTTTCCAAAAATGTATTCCAGCATTTTTAGATTGATTGATTATATCTTGTTCAAGGTTCTCTCGGGAATTTTTCACTCATATGGAAACACCACTACTTGTCGTTGATACTCGGCAATTGATCAGTGAAGGATCTTTTTTCTTGCCAGCACCTACTGCGACACGGGACCTAGGTTTATACGGTCTAATTCAATAGACCGGTCTCCACGTCCCGCAGTGGGATTGGAACCCAAGGATCAATTCCTTACTTCGCGACTCCAGAGCAGATGCTTTAAGCACTGCAAAAATCGAGCAACAAAATTATTACGAGCTTCTGGGACAGATAAACAACCTTAAAACCGATTTTTATTAAAAGTTGTGGCTATGAACTGTCCATCTTGGATATATAAAACACATGGTTACTGTCTTGAAATATAAGCGATATTTGAAAACGTGATAGAGGGCGAGGCTTGCCGAGCCCTCTTACGTTTTCGACCCGAGCCCAAATATCGCTTATATTTCAAGACAGTTATCATGTATTTTGTTTATCCTGCAACATATTTCTTACATTTAAACGTCCAGAACAAGCTATTTCCGACTGATTTAGGCACATCTCTGCAGTTGAAACTATGACGCCATGGCGTAAAAATTGCAATTTACGTGACGTCAAAATGCTTTTAGAACGTCGGAATACATGCACGAGGCTTTATTAGCAGGCAAGTAGCATCGTTTTTGAAAGTGGGGGGGGGGGGAGCCAACCAGAGAAATTTTTTTTTTACTTACCTGAAAAAGTTGACAAGCAAAAAAAAAAAAAAAAAAAAGAAATTCCCCAAATTCGAAAAAACAATTTAGTGTGTTTGGGAGGGTGTTTTTTGGTGGGGGGGGGGGGGGGGTATTGGCCAACTTTTTCGAAGACAGCTTACTATCAATTCCAATTTTTTCCCTTCCCTACAATCCTTGATATCACTATTACTATGGTATGAAGTGGGGGGACCGACCATCCTTTCAATGAACATTTACTATAGTAAAGGCAATGTTTGGGAAAAAAGCCCCCCCCCGGTTGCTACGTCCCTGTTATTAGGGCAGTGACCGGATAAAGCTTTGGTTTATTAGGTTACCTTTATTAGGTCAATGCAAGGGGTAGTTGCAGGATAAATATTATTAGAGTTTATTCATGAGTACTAGTGTGCAAGGTCTTAACTAACATACATTAGAAAGAAATTAGATAAAAATATAATATAATAAATTACGTACCGGATTGCAGTAGTCTTTGCACAGTTCCAGAACACACGTGAAGTTCATTGTGACTACCCCACCTTGTAACGATGTCTCCCGAAAGGCTCCGAACTCGGAGATTAGAAAACCCCGCCTCATTCTCCAGAAGTTCGGGAAAAGGCTCGGATCAATAGAGCAGCTTAAACAGTATTTATATTAAGTTTTTAATCTATAAAAATATATTTTGGATAAAATGTATCAATTCAGTTCCGTTGTTGTAACAACTTTTCACTTACAAGTTGTCAATTATGACGATACTTCCGGCCGCGCAGTACTTCGCCTTGATGTCGAAGTCATCTTCAAGTTAAAGAAACATATTCATTTTATATCTTTATGAAGCTCAACATTTCTTTAATTCAAGAATTATTTAACTTGCGCTCTTCTTAAGGTTAAAGATTGAACATTTTTACTCTGGGAGGGAATACAGCATGATTTCTTTCTTAACGTAATATGAATAAAAATTCTTTCTGATTCTTTCATCATATTAAGATAGAAATGATTTTTATACAACAAGTTGTATATGTTTTTTCCCTGAGCCTTGGCAGTGGTTTAAAAGGTCTACATGTATATAATTATATTTTTAATAAATTATCCATTGAAGTTGCTAAGTTTCTAAATTTGGTTTCTTACTCATTGTCAAATAAAAGTTCATATATTTCATTATGCAGTTACCCTAACCTTGGTACTCAGCATCTAATTTCAAGGTCATAAATACACGGTCCGATAGTTTGACCTCGTGTCCGCTGACCTCCACCCCCGACACGGCCTTGAAGAATTTCATTCCGGCGCTTGGACGCACTGTGACATTGAGACCGGCGCTGTCAACTGTGTCACTAAAATGAAAGTACAAAAAGAAAGTAAAAGAGAAAGTACAAACATAGACTACACAGAAAAAGAACAATAAAATATTGTGTCTAATTTACATTCATATTTACTTAATTTTAGGAATACTTATAGTTATATATAGATGTTTCCGTTAAAAAAAAATCCGTATAGATTAGAATCCATTTGGTAAATATTGGCCTAAAATAATTACTTTGATTGATTGATTGTATGTTGACTTCCTTAATGTCTCTCTCGAAAAGTTTTCACTCATATTCAGACGTCACCACTTTCCGGTGGGGAGCTGCAAAATTTGTCCTAAACGTTCGGGCCATTGTGATCTTTTTCGTGCCAGCACCCACTGCGATATGAGACATCCGTTTATACGCTCTTATCCGAAGGACCGGTCTCCATGTCCCATAGTGGGATTCGAACAACCTGCGACGTAGGGATCAACTCCTTACTTCCCGACTCTAGAGCAGACGCTCTATCCACTGCGCCACGCGGGCGACACTAATTAAGTTTAAAAAGGCAGTATCTCACCTTTCGCTACGTATAATGCTGCATGAATATATTTCCAATGCTAAAATCTAGCATGCCCCCTCCCTTTTTAAGAACCAAACCCTATCACAAAACTACAGTTTATGGTACTTTCGCCCCCTATTCAAATATTAGTATCTACAAAATACGCTACTTTCGCGCCTATTCATATATCTACAGTTTACGGTACTTTCGGTCCTTATTCACAAACCAAGAAGGATATGGAGATAACAAAAAGTATTCCATCTCAAAGTCCATAAAACAATGCAAATTAACAGCAGAGAAAACACGACCCCCGAAACATCAGAAGTGGGATCTGGTGCCATGGAGGAGTTAGCATACCATGCTGACCTGTCACACCCGCCGTGTGCTCATTGTCATGATCGGGAAATAACGGAGAAATCCGTCGTCAATTCAGTGTATAAATAATGGAAAATTAGGGTACTTACGCGCCCAGTAGGTTGGATGCCACGATGTCACTGGTATCGGCCACGCACAACACCGGGATCTTCTTGTCCGCCCCTGTCTGGTAGTTCTTCTCCTTCTGTATAATGATCCGCAGGACCAGTTGCTTGGAAGAGAGAGGGAGGAAAATACAGTATGAAGAAAGCAAACTAGGTTAGTCTTGAATCATAAGATGTAGAAAAGGGAATGAAGGTGTCACCGGGTTCACACGTGCGTGAAAGTCAGTCAATATAGCTCAGTGGTTAGAGCGCTGGCACGGTGTGCTAGAGGCCCTGGGTTCGAGTCCCGGTTGAAACCAAATAAGCTACTGAGATCCGATATATTGACTGACTTTTAAACATCTCTGAAACCGGTGACAAAGGCAAGGAATGGGACGGTAGTATTCGGAAGTTTACTGAAGCAATAAGGTGATGTAAAATGGATGGATTTAAAAACGATATATTTCTAAAAACATAATTAACCCTGTACCATATCCTAATACTGTAAATCACTTTTTATTCGCGAGACCTTAATTTTCGCGTAATTACGCGAGACAATGCGTTCGCGAAAATTTAATTCTCGCGTACAAAAGTGTTCCTTACAATTATATAGAAAAACTAGAAACGATCTCGTTGCGAGCAACGAGTAGGTCTTCCGTCCGAATTTTCGATAAGATGAGATATGATTTTGACTATGATCTTTGATAAAACATAATGAAATCATGCTTACTCTCTTTTGATCAAATTCTTTTGATTTAGATAATATCATCAATGAGTTCTAGTTGAAAATCTAGTTGGATCCTCTGGGCCCGTTATATGAGGGGTCAGCCCCTTTTTCTTCATTTCAAATGATAAGGCTTGTAACTTTCAAGATTTTTGTTCAACAACTATTCAGATATTTCTTTTCGTTTTCGAGCTATGCAGAATAGAATTATATAGGGGCCAGCTCTTCAAGTCCTAAATGGGGCCGTTTTGCAAGAATTGGAATACGATTCTAAAGATCTTTTATTCAACACTCTTTATCAAAATATTTTCCCTATGGAGATAGAAAGAATTAAAGATTTAGCATCTTGGCCCCTTATGGCCCTTTATTTAGTACGTATGATCATTTCTTCTTAATATATTTTTGAAGATTATTAAGATGAACATTTTTGCTTCAGCAATTTATTTTAAAAAAATTGATAAATAAAGAGTTATAAATGAAAGTCTTTTGGCCCCTCTTTGTCCTTTATTTGAGGGGTCACACCCCTTTTCTTGATATAAAAGGAAAGAAAATTAAATTCTGCACAGCTTTTATTCTATATCTATTAACAAATTATTGACAGGTATAAAGATATTAGAGAAAACGTGTTAAATTTTGCGAAATATTTCCGAGCCTATTTTTCGAGCTCTTGTGAGCTTCAAATCTTTTTGCGCTGGAAAGATATAGACTCAAAAAAGCAATTTAACAATCCTTCCTCTACCTTCACTGAACATCTCAAGTCAATATCTTCATTCGTTTTGGAGTGATTGCCAGGACAAGCTGACCCTCTGAAAATCATCCATATCTCACGACCAGAAGTGACGACGTACATAAAAAATTTCCAGTAAGATTCAGACCAATATGTATCAGATCTGAAAGTGTCGTGATAATCGACCAAGCCGTTTCCGAGAAGTCGCGTGCACAAAATCGGTAAGAAAAAAAAAATAATAATAGGGAAAAAGAAACCGAACGAAAACAACATCTATTCGTAAAAATTTTGTCTCGCTTACAAGAGTCAATGACAATCTCGCGAAAATAAGGTGTCGCGAAAATTTAGTGATCTACAGTATAACAAATGAGAAAATTCATTGTTATCTTAAAGTAGAAAAAACATGACATTCATTCGAGAAAATCTAAGTGTTATGCAGATAAAGAGGTATTTTGTGACATATGTAATCTATTTCTTCTTTCACTTATATAGTGTTTATGGGGACATTTTAGATATCAAATGTTTATGTCGACTTCTGGCGAATTAAAGTCGTCACACATCAGAAAAAAATGAAAAGAAATTGAATATTTGGCCGAACACTATCTTGGCAAGGACATGTTTTTACCTTCATTCTAAAAACACGAGAATATATGAATGATATTACAAGTTGGCATAATTCATACATTTGACAAGTAGTGGAGTTGCCTTCAGCCCCCTGTTTTTACTACCAATGCACATGACAGTGTTGAATGAATTCTGCCCCCTATGTTACTACCAATGCCCATGACTGTTAGCTCAATTGATCAATGATAATGAGATTCATCACTTCCTACCCAAGATATGCCACATAGGGCGAAATCAAACTGGTACAAAACTTTATGTGGAGAGGTTTCTAGTCGACAAGCGTCGCCTTGACCAAGAACGTAGATGACCCCAGTGCTTGAGGCGTTTGTTACCCTGACAACAAGCGTGTCCATCGTGCAGCTGACAACTGTCACTAGAAAACAAATCAAACTTTTTATCAGAAATGAAAGAAAATACATTGATATGTTTTAAAAAGAAAATGCTTATTTGATTAAAATATTAAAATGCTTAAGAGATGCAATTACAACAAAAGTATGTTAACCACATGTCGTAGGTTGTGCCGTGTGTTGGTTACGATGTCTGCCCGTCTGTCTATCTGTTAAAGCCTCTTTTTATACATTATTTCATGATTGTAAATATTCAACCCGATATATTTCTGCCAAGTATTTTTAAAATCCGTTGCCCAAAGAGGAAAATTCTCAACTTTACCCTACAAGATGGTGGCCAATTGGAAAAACTCCAAATCAAAATATGTTATAAGAAAACACTCTAAATTGATTTAGTGGTAAGAAGTTTAATGGTCATAAGTATATATTTACATCCACTAAATATTTTCTCCTTCATTTCTTAAGAAAACCCATTGCGTTAATTAGTGGATGAACTACACTAGGCAGCTGTACAGATTTCTTGATCAGTAGCTGTTCCATCAATAAAAAGTACAAAGACGTTCGCATCATAAACACAATATTTAATCTTTTCTTTCCTACTTTAAATGATTATTTACACAGATAAAAATGTAAACAATAAAATATCTTTCTTGGTTGTTAGTAAGGGAATGAATGTCGCAGCTACTGCAGAAAAAATTTCATAACCTGCTTACACGGGTTATGTATTTTTTCTGCAACAGCTGCGACATTCATTCCCGTACTAACAAGCAAAGAAAGACATTTTATTGTCAAAATATTTTCTTTCACTTTTAACAGTTTCGTTTTCACGCGATGTCTCGAGAATCTTTGAGTTTTTTTAGTCAAATTTCATTTCATAACTACCGGTAGCCAAGAAATACCATTACATGTATGTCTTTTGAGACCAAAAGGGTCAAGGACGTAAATGTATACATTCTGACGTAGCGCAATGCATTGTGGTTTTACATTGCGTAACTTGTAACATTGTAAACGACGGACGTTAGTATTTTTGGACATTTTGTCAATTTGGCTACATGGATTTTTCTGCAAATTTGTACCAAGCTTCTATAACGTTCTATGATGATGTCAGACATAATTCACCAATAAATTTACTAGGGCTGTTCAATAAATAATGTTTATGTGACAACTTTTCATCACATAGTTTCATTGTGAGAAGCTGGAAAACAAGGGCTATTCGAGACACTGCGTGTAAAATGAATGGTAAGGAATCAATTAACTAGAGTGAATTTAAACGCTTCATTAAAGCTGCTGTAAAACTCGTAAAGAATCCCAAAGAAATATTCACTGAAATATGTAACATTTACGGCAAGCAATGTCTGTTTTATAGACAAATGAGCAGGTGCATTTCAATGATGAAAAAGTGGGTACCGTCCTTGCAAACAATAATTATAACAACTCATGATGTACTGTTTGCCAATTTTTAACAAATAATTACTGGTGATGTATAATTGAATTTAAGACACATAGCAAATTTAATAGTAGTTCACACTCTTTTAAAGAAAAGTTTGACAGTAATAAAGCTTAGTACTCAAAGGTCACACTATGAAATGAGTGAAAACGACGGCGTGTAAGAACATCTAAACAATTATTCTAAAAAATAAAGTTATCCAAGTTTCTTTGCAATTCAAACAGAAATGGAAACTTCAGTCTATTGCTTAAAACCCTCAAAACAAAATTTACAATAAGATGTATTTGACCAAAACAGCAAATGTCGGAGAAGAGCAAAGAATTCCAAGAGCACAAAGACAGTTTTATATGCAATGTTCTTTTATATATTAGTGATCTTGTTGTTAAAATTCGTATTCGGGGAGGCAGTTTAAATTTCTGGAAGAGTCTACATAGAAAATTTATTGCCAAAAAATCGAAAGGTCAATAATAGGAAGGAACCAGAATTATTAATCCACTACATTTAATTTCCTCATGATAGCGTCCAAACCCGCACGCCATGAAGAGGTGTTTTTGGGATAAACAGAAAGTGATTTTTTTTTTCACAAAAACAATATTCGCCAGATCTCTCACCTTTTGACTTGTTTCATTTTCCAAACTTGAAAAAACAACTTTCACAACGAAGAAACTAATCCAGGAAAATATACTGAAGAAAAAAGAAACGCAAAAGAACATAATATGGGAAAATTTTTGACTATGTGACCAAAATTATGAAAATTGGTCAGATGTGAATTTTGGTTACTTTGCACTAAAATCGCTAGTCAAAACAACTCAACCATGAAATGTATGGCGTCATGTAGAGGAAATGATAAAAAGTCAAAAGCACGTGCATGTTGATGATGATATTAATTTTGTAATAAAATTTTGTAGTGCCATACGATGCAGTAGAGTTATAGACATCATTTTTGCATATTTGTAGTCAGTATAAATGTCTTGCAATCGTGGTATGGCTGACAGAATCTACTGTGGGTTTAGTAATTGAATTCAGTAATGCTTAAGTGAATAAAAAGGCAAAAACGTGCTGCTGTATAGATTGTTTTCAACTTGTCAACCAAATAAAAGTTTTTGTGGTTGTCAAAGAGTTAACTTACAATGTTTCCAACCAACCATGACGGTGACTTTGGCGCGTAACAACGTCACAACAAGATAGGGTTTTTCATCATGCCACCTCGGTTATTGTCAAGGCATTATCACTGAAACTGATATTTATACAGCAGGCAATCATACTAATTTTTTTCACCCTAAATTGGCAGAAACCCTCTGCTCCAATTTGGGCTGCGTGCTTGGCAACTTTACGTCGATTTTACTCTCAAACTCGCACGTACGCGTCGTATGTGTGATTTTTTTAGCATGTTTACACTGGAAAAATTTAGCTAGTGTTTGTCAAAACTTTTTTACAAACATCCACGTGTACCAAACCTGCTAGGTTCTGTACATTCTATCCTAAATTGAAAATTCGTGGGATTCGATTGGGCGGGGATATTTGTTGGTTTTGGAACAATACAGCTAATCTCAGCCATTAAGACTACCTTCAGAAGGGTTGAATAATAATGATCAGAAAAAGATAAATGCTCTGGTGAACTCAATGTTCAGGAAAATCAAGTTTGTTAATAATGCGAAAGAAAGATTTTGAGAATTTTTAGTTTTTTTTCACTCAAAATCACGTAAAATTTTGGTAACTTGTTGATTAAAGATGAATTAAAATGTATGATAAGAATGCTGGAACACATATTTAAAATAATTGTTTTAATTTAACTCAAAAGTTTAATATGCGTTTCTTAATTCTTTCAGTATATAAGATCTGCCATTTTCCAGGATACTAAGGGTCATACCCAAAAATGAGTTCTAAAAACAATCAGAAGTTTGATAAATTTTTTCATCGACATGTGTTTTAATTGAAAGAGAATATTAAGTTAAATTATTAATACTAAATCATTAAGAGTGTCTTTTGCGTCTTTCTGAGCACTGAGGACATTATTTATTGACCAATTCGGACTGTTCAGTAAAATTTTAAGCATTCTGTAATATGGCGTGATCTTGACAAGTAACAAGGAAAGATGGAATGTGTAGATATCAACAACGTTCCTAACGTATCTATCCTTAAGTACTTGTCCACGGTATCGATTCTTTCTCCGACCTATGTGTAAAAATGAATTTTTGATTACAATTCAATTCAATACTATAACTTTCTATATGGTCTCGCACTTTCTTCTAAAAGTACCATGCCTATTGCCTTTCCTACTGATCTTTGCATACAGTGGGTCAACAAAAATCTCTAAATCAGCTTGCCAGTAGCTTAATTTTAACAAAAATGAAATAAATACAGTAAAACTGGTTTAGTACGAACACACGCGGATATTGCGAATTCACGGATATAGTGAAGTCATTTTGGATCCCCAGTTATATAAAGTTTTTGAATTTCTAATACGGTTATAACGAATTATGGATATAGCGAAGTAATTTCACATGTCTCAGCGACTTCGTTATAACCAAGTTTTAATGTATAAAAAACTTACATTCTGCATTAAAAGCCAGGGGATTATTAGTGAAACATCCAAAAAGAAGGACTGCAAGTAAAATATAGATCCCTGAAATATAAGATAAAAAATTGAAATTAAGATATATATTATGTGCTACACTTATTTATAGTTTTTTGGAATATAGGATAAAGTTATCAATTATATGCATTATTCTAAGAAGATGGGCGAACAAGGCGGGCAGAATGCCTATAGCGTCATCTATTAAGAAATCATATTTAATATGTGAATTGAGTATTTAAATCAACTTCTAATTATTGAAATTTTTGAAATTATGAGAAAAAAAACTTTTCTGAGAGAGAAAAAATCTCGTAAAAAATTTTCTTTCATAAAATTATTAGATGGTATTCGTGGGATTCGAACTCTAGCAATAAAAATCCGACGTATCAATAGCATACTGCTTTGAGACTAACGCGTTAACCACTATGCTACACCACTCATGGTGATTTCAGGCATTTAAATCATGTTTGTGATATGACCCGCGACTTAATGAACTTGAAGATTTTCTCGGAAAGATGCTAATGTTGTGTCATAAAAGTGTACCTTTAAGGTATAGTGGGTCTTCGCTCCATGTTTTTGAAAACCAAAAAATGTGTATTTTATTGAACACTTTTAGGACCCTCTTTCAAAAAAATGGAGAGAAGACCCACCCATATTGAAAAAATGTGTTTAAGTATGAGAAAATGATCGTTTTTGTTCTTTTTAGTGTGTGTAAGCTTTTTCAAAGACAAATATTTTCAGTCTTTGTGAGATTTTTGTAAATTGTCGAGATTTTACATAAAGTATACTTTAATATTAGATGAAATATCAAGTAAAATTTGGATTTAATTGAGATTAAAAATTTTGACTTCTTATCTGTCGCATATAGGCATTCTGCCCGCCTTATTCGCCCATCTTCTTTAAATTTATGGGTGAACATTTTAAAAAGTAGTTAAAATTAAAAAAAAAGTCGAATGTAAATACATCTTTTGACTCTTAAAGTTTCCATTACAATAAAAAAATATACATATACTGCAGTATAGGCCTATTGATTTAAAAATAAAATAAAATATGTAAGCTTGTTCACATATTTTCCCACCATCTTACACAAAAGCACCCACAATTCTTCAAATGTTATCACGGAAAGAGCGATAACCAACAACTTTTCAGAATATAAAAATTAAACACATGTGCTTATAACGACTATGTTATGCTTCGAAAATGTTATAATATAATTCTGGTTGTAACAATGTATTTGATTGGATAAAAAAATGTTTTATATCGTATAAAATGGGTTGCCTACGTCACTATGACTTGCGTCAAAAACGTATCAATCCGCTTGATGTTACATTTAAATTTTATACAAACTAAAGTCATTTTGTTAGAACAATTATCTTTTCTTTTCTTACATCAAATGAATGTAAATTAAGTCATAAGCAATGAATTTAATAGCTTTCCATTTATAAACAGTATAAACTGGGTTGGAACAGTTTATGCTTTTCTATCCAGATTATACCGTATAGAATGGGTACCTATTAAATTCATTCCTTAGATAATAAAAAAAAAGAAAAATCTTACCTGAAGAGATCATGTTTCATTTCTTTTGACATTAGTGTGTTGTGTGTTAAATAAATCGATTCAGACCGGTGACATTTTAATTATTTATGAACCTCTGATTATTCTGTAAATGCCGTCGATATTGTCTATACATTTGTTGTTATTAGATTACTCATGGGTTCTCATATTATATCATATAAGGGGGCCGACTGAGGTTTTATTGTGCGAAAACTACAATAGAGAGACTTATTAATCTAATAAAACATGTTACTTACATTTACTAAAGGACAGATGAGATGTTCCTCGATAATATTTATTTTTTTCCCAAGAATTTGTAACTGAAGTACTTTGATATATTACTCACAAAAAATTGAGGTACATTACCAGGCATTTGTGCAAGATAGTAAAAGGTAGTATTTCTTAAGGTAGGATTCTTCTCATATTTCTTGTATTTAAAAATTAATGAAATTTTCACAGAATCAAGAAGACAATATCAGTAAGTGATAGTATCAGTGAGATTAAATTTGACCGTTTTATATTAGAGGCAAGGTCAGGTCAAGGTCATTATTTTTTTCCTTGACATTATGAATAAAAAATACTGTTGCCAATCATGTGATGCCTACTTCTATTTCAAAAGTTTAAAGATTGTTCTTTTTGCATAAAAAGATATTACTATATCGGGCTTATAGCACGGTATTACCAAATTTACATAGATAATTTAACTAAACTGGATATTGGCTAATCCGAATTTTCTCTTTTTTAGGATATATTAATTATTTTCATAAGCTTCCTATATTTATCTTTTTCTTATTTTCACATAAAATAAAGTAGTCTTATAAAGGTACAAAATTATACAAAAACAAAAAGTTTTGATCGTTTGCTAAGAGAGAAAAATACTTTTTTATGGATTTTTGGCTCAAATCTGTACTTTGATTTGAAGCGTTTAAAAGCTAACGTAGTTCTAGTTTGTTTGGAAAATCATATTTATTTGATATATTTTGAAAGTTTAGTCCCTTATTATTAATTTAAATTACATTTGAAAATTTATTCAAGTCTTTGATTGTGTAAAACTTATAATTAAATTCATTGTTCTATTATAATTTTGAAAGGCAGAAAAGAAGATATTTTTATACGCCATCATTCCGCCAAAAATATAGTCCCTGCTAGTTTTCAAACGCAGTTTACCATTTCTATCTAAATTTGTACAATTGTGATGAGAAATGAAAAATATGGTCTTTTAAATCCCTTACACTTAAATATGTAAAACATATAAGCAAATATACTTTGAATGTTTCATCTAGTCAGAAACCAGAGAAGAATCCTACCTTAAATAATCCTTTTGTGAGGAAACTAAGCTCCTTCAAAATCTAATTTTTAAGATTTTTAAAGCGATTAGAAACTGGTTTAAAAATCAGAATGTAATTAAAATATTTAATATTTTCAGAACATTTACAGAACACATATATGAGCAACGTCTCGTCTGTCATTAAGTGCTTCTGCAAAGTTTGGGGAAAATCCACCGTCTGGGTTTTAAGGGACCGTCTCAAAATACATATACATTTATATTTACTATTGGATTATAGGGAAAAGCCAATTTTTGACACTTAAAGGCAAATTATACAAAAAGTACAACACACGTTTTGCACATATTATGATGTTTGATTATAGTACAGTAACTGTATTATACATTATAAGAAAGTCTACCGTCTGGTTCCTAGAGGGGGCATCTAAGCATGCGAGAAATTAACATTTTTTCCTGGTTTTTAGAGTTTGACAAAATACAAAAGACAAATAAAAGCTATAAGTCAGTGGAGTAAGAGATATATAACACATATCGGAAAGATAACTGTTCTTAGAACTCTTGTTCTACCGCTGCTAAATCATACACTAATGGCTATTCCCAAACCACCAGAAACCGGTCACTGTAGCCTAGTGGTACAGCGTTCAGTTCGTGATCGGGAGGCCCGGGTTTGATTATCGTTCGCGGCGT